CAAATCCCAAATACTAGTAATTTGGGATTTTGGCATCCCAAATCCCAAATGATTTGGGATTTGGGCAACACGTATAAATCTGAGTTTGATTTATCGAAACTATGGGTCATCGATCTTGAGGCTGAGAATGTGAAGCTAAAACAGATTATTGAAGAAAATGCTAAACGCAAAGCCGAGAACGTTAACCTTAAGGTGGAGCTAGAAAAAAATAAAAAAGATATCACCTATCTTTCAGCTGAAAATTCTGAGCTTAAAATCAAAGTAGCAAAATTAAGCTGTGATTTCGAGGAAATAAAATCAAAGGGAATAATCACTAATTCTCCGAAGCAATTGTCAATTTCTGAGAAAAAGAAAATAAGTGTTTCTACTGAAATGGAAAATTCTGGCGTTACTCCCGAATAAATAGACTTACAAACTGAGAATATTTCAGCATCAGATATATCTGATGACACTTCAAATTCTGATGATATTCCCACAAAAGAAATTTCGTCACTTAATGAAAGTCAACCTGATAAGGAGGAAGCTATTACTCCCAACTCTATGCCCGAAATAGAACATAACTCAACCCAGGTCCAAAAAGGTGAATCATCTACAACCTCTTTGTCACAAAATATTATCGATGATGATACAGCTGAGACCCTTGATTTTGTAGAAACAAAATATAAAGAACGTGTTAGTGAAGAGATAATGGAGAGAATTAGGGAAAAGAAACTTCGGGATCAAAACTCATCTTTGGATAGTACTTCATCAGAACCATCCTACAAAAATCAAAATCTGGAATCATCTATAATATCGCAATCTATCTCTAATAGTTCTGAGTTATCTTTGGATAATAATTTATCAGATCAATCTAATTCATCATGTGGTTCTGAGTTCAAATCGCTTACTAATCTATCACCTAATCAGAGGCACGAAGTGCTTTGCTCCGCAAAAATTCCTTATAATCAAAAAGTAGAACGAGGTTTAAGACTTGAGCTATCTATTTGCACCAAAGATAATAACAACAAGATTAGTAAAGTATTTGATATTCAGATTCCTGAATTCTCTTTAGAAGCGATTTTATCAGGATCTAGCAGCATTACGTCACAAAATATAGTTGATCTATTTAGGATAGCAATGAAGATTCGACAAAAGGAAAGTTTGTGCTGGTATTGTTATTATAAAGCATACGAAAACTGTGTTAGTGATGTTAAGAAAGTAATACGTAAAGGTGTGGAGTCTGGTCAATCACATGAGTGGTGTATACCCTAAAAACTGAAGTTGAGTACGGTGTACTTAATGAGGCTGTACACAGTTGTAAATTATACAAATGTGTACAAAA